CCAAATTCGATGGTTAATTTGTTCCCACATATGTGGCGGGTGGAGAGCGGCGAAGAAGCGTGACACATTGATTTTATTTATGCAGATAAAAACGGGTAATGTGGACCTTTTTAATAGACGCAACTGAGAACCGGAAGGAACACTCGCAGAAAGTGTGTAAACGTCACAGATGGCTCAGTGAGTATATATGGTGGGGATCACGTAGCTAAGTGGGTAAGACGGGGGTCGGGTGTTCGATCCCTGCATTGGCCGAGAAAGTTCATCCAGATTTTCCGGCGTGGTTCCCCCTTGTCAGTGATGCAGGACGGTGGGCCTGACAAGGACAGCTGTCTAGTCCTTCGGATGAGACGATAAAACCGAGGTCCCGTGTATACATTGGAATGCACGTAAAAGATCCTTTGGTGGAATTCGATATAAGAGTAGGCGATAGTGCCGCTGCCCGGGCAAAATTTCCCTCATAGCAGACTGTATGGCGTATGCCCGTCTTCATTAGCCCAGCATAGGAAATGAAATGAAATGGGGTTTAACGTCCTACTGTTTTGCTCCGAACTGGGCTAATGAAGACGGACCCAGCATAGGAATAGAACAGTAGGACGTTAAACCCCATTTCATTTCCCAGTGAGTATATGGATGCTCAACCTCCTGGGTTCTATCCGAATCCTTCGGTGTCCTCCCACTGTTAAAAATCCCTACGAAGAATAATAAATGAAATTGTACCACATGTTAGTCTCGAAATGACCTAATTTGTGTCGAGTGGACGTTAAGCCTCTCTCCGAACTAGTTTACACCCAATTACACGCATTTGTCATTAAAGTGCCGAACTTTGGATGATTTTTCACATATTAAATATTTTTTAATCAAAATTTTAGCCATTAATAAAATTACTGACGTTGGCTGTGACTTGACACGACTTGTGTAATGACTGCACCTGACTGTTCTAGACGTAGGTCTATTGTTCTAGTTGACAAGTGAAATAATACGTAATATTTAAGGAAGTAGAAAACCTGATAATGGGTAGCTTACCGCAAAGCTGTCTAGTACAGTTTATATAATTAAAGGGGGCGGGGTTCTATAAAGAGAAGCTTTCATAGTCTTATATACTTTCCTTACACTCCCGTTTTCTGCACTCCATAACTTTTACATCAAAGGAAGTATATCACAAGTATAATAAATTGCCATATTGTACAACTTTCCACCGGAAAAATTGTAATTTCCCTTGAGCTCTTATGCATAAATACATATTTTAAAATTTAATAACTGCTCTAAACGGAGATAACGTTAATAATATTTTATTATTCAAGAGGAGGTGAAAAATATAAAAAAAATGACTATAAATACGCCCTTGAATCCTGTACGTCATAGTTTGGCACTGATATCCTAGAGGGTTTTTTTTTACCAGCAATCACAATCTGCGTGCCCTGGGGCAAGTAAAGACCCACCTAAGCTCACCAAGGATTATTTGCTTTGAAGATCCACACATTCGCCGTTCTGGGGCTCTACCGGTGCTTAAAGACCCCCTACCCACCACAACCACCATTCTAGTCATATTAGCCGCTTAACTACAACGACCCCAAAAATTCTGCTCATTTTTCTTGATAGTCAGTAGAATTATTTCGAAATATTATGAAGGTAAAATGTAAACTTCAAATGTGTTAAATGTGAGAGAGAAGGATAATGGGGTTAAAGGTCCACACAAAGGTCCACACGCGTAGGGGTTTTAGAAGGAGGAAATCGGAAGATCCAGAGAAATCCCAAGAGATTGGACAGGGGACCCTGCTCCTTGTCACGTACAAGCAGGGTTCGAAGCCACGACACTTGACTCAATGACAGACCTTGTGATCTAACACGTTAAACTATTCGGCCACCCAACCCCCTTATTGAATGTGAGATAGTATATGTGGAGAAACATCCCCCGCTTTCTGCACCCAATAACATTAGATTTATATCAAAGGGAAGTAACCACAGAAATTTGAATGATTAAAATGTACAAATTGCGTTAATAGTAAGAATGTTTCTGGTTGAATGAATTACTATATAAACACCCTCTATTATTACTACAAGTAGGCAACGTAATCAATCGTCGATCCTCGATAATTTTTTTATTTTCCCATTGTTCGGAATACAACATAATAAGCTTAAGGCTTGAGATACAAATCTGTCCACGCCCAATAAATTTAATTATTAAGAAATGAAAAATCTATTATGCATTGTAAATAAATAATATGATTTTTTTCTAGAGTTTTATTTCTACATAAGTAATCATAACCACCGTTTCGTGACAAATATCATTATGCAAAATCATATGTATATATTATTATCACTAGATACATGACTGGGCGAATTTAACTAAGATGATAAAATAAAACTTATATTTGAACCAGTTTTCTACCCTCATATTATGATTTTAAAATCGGTATACTAAATCACGGTCTTGTGACTAACTTTCGATCAGGAGAAGGACTTATAATGAATGATAACGTTGTATAATATTATGACTACATCAACACACAAAATGGTTATCAAATATTAAATAACAATATGAACCTTTTCTGTAACTTCGAAATGGAAACAGAAAAATAATTGTTAACAATTGTTTTTTTAAAAGGCGTATCTAGAGACCAAGTGACCCTTTTAACTACTGTATATGATATGAGTATATAAACGAATTGTTTTCCAAATGTTACTTAGATGTGACATTGATTCTTTTCCGCTGTGGTTCTGATGATCTACGGATAATATGCCCTCTTTTAGCGAGAGAGAGAGAGAGAGAAATGGGATTTAACGTCCACTCGACACAAATAAAGGTCATTTCGGGACTAACATATGGTTTAATTTTATTTCAATAATTCGCTTGCTCATAGGGGTCTTTAGCAGTGGGAGGAAACAGGAGGACCCGGAGAAAACCCACGAGGTTGGACAGGCGACCCTACTCCTTGTCACGTACAACCGGGGATTCGAAACCACGCCAGTCGACTCAATGACAGACTTTATGATACAGCGCGCGCACGCTAACCATTCAGCCACCCCCCCCCTTCTTTTAGCACTCTTCCCACTCCAATCTCTATTAAGTAGATGTAATTTAACAAATAAGATGTAATGGTACATTTAAAGGGGCATTAGGTCGTAAGCTTAGTCTCGCTATAATAGCTAAAAAATAGATAATAAAAACAGAATATGCTGAAAATGTCAGTCAAACTGTTTCACTCTGAACCGAGATATTAGCGATTAAATTTTAGGTAAGCCTCGGTCATCATTACTAACTTTAGTACGATCATAAACAAAGTCTCGATTATCTATTTTTACGTTAAATTATCATCACCAAATGTATTCAAATCCACTAAATGTCGCAGGCTAATGATGGTAACGAGAGTTGATTATGGTCTGGATAGGTTAATTAATGTCTAAGTAATAATTTAGATAACATTTCAGGCCTAAAGAAAGACATGCAATAGGCAGATTTAGCTCTTGCATAATGTATGTTTAAGTCATGTTGTGGGTGATATAAAGTTGCCAACTCAACAGATTAAATGATTGTATGTACAATAGAATACACAGACTAGGTGATTTTATATACAATATAATACACAGTCGGTCAATTCCACTGGGAATAAAATGGAATGGGGTTTATTTCTCGGATGCACTGTACTTCGGTAATTTTGAGACAAACTTGGTAATTTTCATTTTAGTGATACGCGTGGGATGCGGGTTAAGTGGCAATTGCTCACAAACAGGGGCTAAGTGAGAGGGGCGCAATGACGAGATTCATGTCATGGTTTTGAGTTTTTGTGTCCCCTCGCAAATGGCAAAAAATCGCGCGGTTTTAGTGCGGTTTTTAACATTATAATCATAATGCTTAACCAGTGTTAAACATATACCGTGGGTCAGATATGCTAAAAATCGACTCTAGCATGTTCCACACAGAAAAACATTCCGGCGGTACTGGGTGACCCCCCCCCCCCCCCGCACCCGCATATAAATATTGTTTATTGTTTTTTGGGGCGACCCGGACGGGATCTTGTTCCTTATGCAAAATCATGTACGTCACCACGTCCCTGCCACACATCTTCGATTTGCACCTGTCAATGATTCTTTTACCTACACTGCAACGTCTACAAGGACGAGGCTCTGCATTTTTGCCCTTTCCGAACGACTAGGCACAGTTTTCTGACGAGTGAAGGCCCGGATTGAAGTGTCTCTATTGTTCTTCGCGGTATACTCTGAGTTCTGAACCCTGGATATTTTACAACCCCGATCCGAAAGGGTCATTAATTAATGAAATGGGGTTTAACGTCCTACTTTTCTGCTGCAACTGGGCTAATGAAGACGGGAGTTGGTGGTCAAAACAAATATCGAATCTACACAGACAAGTGGGTAAACTGTATGAGCAAGATTTTTTTATAAAACAAAAAAAAAAAAAAAACCAATTATGAATGATAATATGTCAAGACAGCATTGTTAACTGCACGCAGATTATGCACTCATCTTCATCAATCTAAAATATTTTGTCTTTTACAAAGGTGGACAGATTTATGGCGACAGAGAGATCAAGGGGATTGTGAAAGAACACGATATATTTAAATTAGTAACGAGTTAATCAATTGGTTGGACTGCCCGACTAACGGTGTTACCTGTGTTTTTATTTGCCGTCATCATTTGTCAATAAAATAACGCTTGCTTTTTCTTCCGTCTTTTTACCTGACGGAAATAACTGTCCACCGTTTACACAAATTACACTTTGTAGGTAAAAGAGGTGTGTATTAATTCATAAGTTTTATAAATATTTGGTAGACATTCTTTTTTTATAAGTTATAAAAATTGAAAAGGCTCTTACTATGTTTAAAATCTAATCGAATTGATCAAGCAATTTAAAATATAACAATAAAGTTACCTCCAATTCTACTTTTCACCCCTAATAGACAATGGTATCGTCCAGTTTCTTTACTTTCGTTTACGCCTATAGAATGTTTATATATATTTAACAAGTCTACATATACACGAGTATATAAATACACCACGCGTGTTGAGCATATAACGGAAAACTCGTCGCTCGTGTGTCGTAGTCAATTTAGAGTGTGAAATATGTAATACGGTGGCAATATTCTGTTTCATTTGAACAGTTCACATAACTAAACAGTAGTTTTATTCTGTATGAATTTCAGCCACTAAAACACCAATGTAAAATGCATTTTATGATTTAGAAAACTCATCTATGCAAATAATCTTTGTTTTAAAGATTAACTGAAATCTCTTTGAGAACAGTATTTATTGTTAAGGGACATAATATACCATTCGGACAGTTCATATAGCTGACAAACTTATATTAATTATTATATATTCCACTATTACAAAATGGACTTGTGTTTATTACTTGGAATTGGCGTCTTAGCAGTGGTGGGATTCTTAATTAAAAAATATCTTAACAAGTAAGTGACACTCTTTATTTCTATTGTTAATTTTAAGATAGTCTCATTCTTTTCCTTTATTTACTTTAACTAATTTCCATTTCATTTTATATTCTTGTGAGTCACAATTATTTCATCATATTAAAGGCGTTATTAAATTTGTATCTCAGAGTTATAAACGTTATTAAGGTTATATCTCAGAGAATTATAAACATGATTATGGTTGTATCTCAAAGAGTTATAGACGTTTTCAAGGTTATATATCTCAAAGAGTTATAGACATTGTTAAGGTTGTATCTCAAAGAGTTATAAACATTATTATCAAAGAGTTATAGACATTGTTAAGGTTGTATCTCAAAGAGTTATAAACATTATTATCAAAGAGTTATAGACGTTACCAAGTTTGTATCTTAAAGAGCTGTGACCATTATTAAAGTTTATCTAAATGAGTTATATAGACTTATCAAATTTGTATCTCGGAGAGTTATAAACATTATTGAAGTTTATCTTAATGGGTTAGTGGGGGTTATCAAGGTAGAGTTACGGACATTGTTAAGGTTGTATCCGCTCTACTGGACGAGGAGAGAAACGCAGATATATATGGATCATGTCAAAAAGCTAAACCAATGATCTTGTTTGGATAAAAGCATAAGCGCACGAATGTACTGTTATACTACTCCAGTTTATCTGATTCCATCTTACACTTACCTAAACACAAGCATTTAATATTAAAATCGCCAAGCTATTCGGAGACATAAGTGTTAATTAGAAGAGCTAATTAGGAGATCAAAGAGCTAATTAGGAGACAGTCATAGGTTGTCTGTTATTTATGTTAATCATTGCTATGGGTTTTTTTTTAGCGTTTGACATTTATTATGCCCAGATAAGGCAAAAGATATTTGTATGTGTTTTATTTATTTTAGTCTTTTATAAGTTTCATAAGGATTGTATTGGGGAAATTTGTAAAAGATATGCTCTTTTAACATTAGATATTTTCTCATGTAAAATTAAAGGTCAGTTTTTCTATTTTGATTTTAATTATACTAAACATATTTAGAAGTTCTAGAAGTTATATAAAGACGTGCGTGCTTGTGTATTATTTATGTAAACATGTGTTACGTACAGTTACGTTATATAAAAGAATAAATTTGTGAACATAACCATACCTGTATTTCTCAATGGTGGGTTATCAATAAAATCCATTCCATTAAAATCTTTAAAGGGACAGACTGTCTTGTATGTTTTGTGATCTTAACTCTGTACTTGTGCGGTTCTATCGTTTATTGGTTGTTTTACGTACAATGGAGGTCTTGGTACTAATGTAGTTAGAACACGGGACTGACAAGCAGAACATCTCGTGTTCGAATCATGACCTGGACCGAGAAATAATTTTTAAGCCATGAAAAAGAACCTTCCCCTCTCACATTTCTTAATATTCGTCACAAAGTAAACCAAGTGTCGACGTAATATTCAACCTCATTCAATTGGATGTGTTATGCTTATCCCCGCAAATCTCCGCATGGATATTTAAACTATTAGACTATAGTGTTCAACACATTTAACTTGAGTTTATTTATAGATTCTATATATAAAAGAACAAACAAAATCATCACCTATAAGCTCCCTAATGAATAATAAGTATCCCTCAACCGTCACTATTTATGTTTAACAGGATTTTCTGAACTGGACTTGGATTGCAGAAGCTGAAGCTGCTTAGTAGAATATTGAATGAACTTCCAATAATTATATTTTCTTTGGTTGTAATGTCTCTTTAAGGTTGTTATTTTTATAAAGTGATGAATGGGGGATTTCTAGTTGAGTAAAATATTTGCTACGGCTGATCGAACACAACATGATAGCAAACTGAATCTCTGTATTGAGTATTGCTAGTCATAAAGGAATAAAAAAATAGACATTACTTGTATAGATCACAATAACATGGAGGGATTCTTTCGATATTATTCACCCATAGCCACTTAACCAACTACATGTATTCGCATTATTAGTCAATAATAAAAAAAATGTCTTGCAAAAGGAGAAATTCCAGAATCTCCCCTGTACCTGTTTTCTAACCTTTGTGTGTTTCACCTACAACGCATTATTGTGAGTGAAAGACAGATTCTGTGATCTGGCAATTATGAAATGTAATGAAATGAACTGAGGTGTAAACGCCCTACTTTTCTGCACCTACTGGGATAATAGAGATGGGCGAACCCTATACACTGTGCTGATAGGGAAATTTTGCCCGTACAGTGGAGCTACGGCCTACTCTTATAACAGTAAAGTCTCGACCACCAAGTAATTATCTTCTCTGGGCAGCATTTAGCAACTGAGACACGTAAATAAACAAAGCGACGTTTCGTATATTATCTAGTATCAATCTATAGCACATACCCACACAACATATATTCAAAACATTAAAGGTGAGAGTGAAAAATACTGGATTTTAAAAAAAATATATATAACATAAATGCAGGAGTCTATTGATTTTTGGATTGGTATTAATAAACCACAAGATGTTATATATACCGAGGAAATCATCCCGTGTATTTACTAGTCGAATTTACATTTTATTGTTGTTCTAAAACTACCAGTAATGTTTTCTATCTAATGTAAAAATGTAAATCAGACGTCACCAACTTCACTTTGTGTTTTTTTTTATGTTGTCATCTGACACATTCTTTTGTCAAGATTGGGTTCAGACCACTTTTAAAATCCAAGCGTATACGAGTGGACCTGGGGGCGGGTGGATTTTATTATTTGACTTGTTGATATACGTAGAACTTTTACTGACAGAACATAGTTGGTTACATTACAATGTAATGTAAAATTAGGAAAAATAAATGAAATTGTAATCTAATTTCATTTCCATTGTGCTATTATCTGATGATATACATTTTCTTGAAGTTATTTAATTAAAGATGCCCTATGTGACCTACTTTATATTATAGTTTACAAAATTTTATTTCAGTCAATTTACTTTGATTGAAATTGTCTAAACCTCCCAATGTCTTTTCCGTTCGATGTTCTAGCGAGTAAATTATGGGCTAGCCATGTGAATAACTGTCTGAATAATGATTTATATAACATTTGAAGCCGGAACAAAGGCCCGCAATAGGCAGATTTAACTCTTATATAATGTATCTTTAAAGATATACCATTTAGAGGCTAAAACGCGACACAAATATCTTTTAAGGAGAACGACGTAATTAGAATGAGCTTCTACGCCCTTTATTCCCCCTCCCTGCATTAATATACAATTTGTATTGTTGTGCGTGACGAGGATTTTGATAATAGCAGGCTAATCATTTATTTATATATATACTGTACTATTCTACTAAAAGAGAGTTGTTCTGTTGTTGATTGTATTGGATGAACCTGGTTATAAGTAATAAATCGAAAGTTATTTTTGATTTCTATTGTACTTGTTGATTAGTTATTTATGTAAATCACTGGTAGTCTCTTCAATCAATATTTATGTCTTTAAAGTGACTATCTCAGTTATCTGATAATCGCAAAATGGTGACAAATGAACTTTGCAGTTTATTCAATAGTGTATCCAAATTAGATCGTCGAAAAAGTTTGGATAAATCTGAGAGGTGGTGTTGTAGCGGTTATTCTGGTGAAGACGCTGATGTAAAATAAAAGACGCCGATTTTCAATGTGTGGCGTGGTGACTCCTGATTCTCCATGGTGGTGAACAAGATCCAAGAGGGTGATCTCTTCCCCCGGCGCCGAGAAATTTTTGGATGTATTGCACCGGCTAGGGTCGTTTTGAAACTAAGCTGACTGTGAGTTGATCAAGTGCTTTCACACTTGTAATAATGTTATAACAGATCTGGAATTTGATTTCTAATAGTGTCGAAAATCGCAATGAAAACACACGACTTGTTTCTATCGACAGGGGTCAAAACTCCAAACTCATTACGCAAAGCCCGTCATTTCACCCCTCCCAATCTCTTAGCCCTGGGCGGGGCTATGTAACGCGGAAAGATGTCAGTACAAAATGTGACTATGCACAATGTGATATAACATCAAAACAAGCCGAAACCTATTGACAAATTCTTCAACAGAAGAACAGTCCAACAAGCTAATATGAAATTTAAAACATTTATTTTCCTGTGGAAAGTGTCAACACTCCTTTAACTATCCACCATTACAATCTTCGAACAAGGGGTATAACTCGGGTCATCAGATGCATATTGATGACGCCATGGCTTTGATCGGGAAACGTTCATAGAAATAACCCAAACAAGTTTTGAAATACAATGGTAAAGGCCCATTGTGTTTTTTCTGAAAGTTTTTTTTTTAAATAAGATCTTGTTATTTTCTTATTTAATGAATTAAGGCTTAAAATGAGTTAGTTAATGGCAAATATTTTCCTAACACCCTTTTATGACGTTTCCTCCTATATCTAGGCTATCTACATGTTTACACCTGTGTATGGCTTTTACTCTTCTTATATTTCCCTTTAGGTCTGATTCTCAAGCTAATATGAAAAAAAAAATTACAAAAAAAAATAATATTTTGAGCTGTCCAGAAATTTCCACCCAATCTATGTGTATAGACAGCCAGTCAATAAATAATATGTCCGCCCAAATATTTTATAAAATGGGGTTATTGTAGGAGTAAAGACATTAATAAGCGCTGTCTCCAGGTAGTGTCATGTCAACAGGTGGGTATATTTAGATATTTGCTGTTAAAATACACAGATGTCTTAATTAATTTTAAGACGCCGCACCAAAATAAACTAACACAAACTGTCAGCATCTTCAAACACTTAAGAACCTTTTATACACCCATATTTTCATATAGATAGCAACTTAAGTGTTCAGATGAAAATCCAGTTCTCAAAACTATATTAATGTCATACATGTACATAGTGAGCCTTTTGATGTTTATTTTCGTGCGACATATACATGTATCTTCGGCGAGTCAAAAAGATTCCATTATTTGTCCAGTGGGTGTAATGTCATCTGACTGAGTATATATGACATTAAGATCAAGAGAGAGAGAAGAGAGAGAGAGGGGGGGTAACGTCCACTCGACCCAAACTAGGTCATTTTGGGACTAAAATGTGGTTCATTTTTTTCATTTCAATAATTCAATAAGTGGTCTTCAGCAGTGGGAGGAAACCGCAGGACCCGGATAAAGCCCACGAGGCTGGACAGGCGACCCTACTCCTTGTCACGTACAAGTGGGGACTCGAAACCACGCCACTTGAATCATTGGCAGACCTTATGGGGACACGAAACCACGTCTCTTGACTCAGCGACAGATCTTGTGATGCAACGCGCACGCGTTAACCATTCGACCACCCAACCCCGCAATATCAACTGCAGAACAAGAAACCTGTGTAAGTTAAGTTTAACGAAATGTTTCTTCAAATATAAGTAGGCCATCTGTCAGAATATCTTAACATTCATTTAATTTGAATAACCAGAAAAAAATAAACTCATAGAATCAAATGGCTTAAGCTCACATTGCATTAAATCAATGATTCTCAACCAGTGTGCCACGGCACACAGGTGTGCGCGAGATCTTCCTAAGTGTGCCGCGAAATTTTGAAACGCACACTAAGAAAATGTGATAACCCACGTGATCCCAATTGAGCATTCAATGGTATCTACTGGTACGTTCATAGCTGTGTTTTTCTTTATTTAGTTTGAGTCATTCTATGTATCTATGACTAATTCCGTCTGACTTACCATGTTTTTTTGTTGGTTTTATTTTTTGCAAAATTCAAATATTTCTCATATATATTTAGACAGGTGTTCCAAGGTGTGCCGTTGGCAAAATAAGGTTGAGAACCACTGCATTAAATGCATTTTAGTGTTAACCGATGTGTATGCCATTGATATATACTTAAACATTAAATTTTGATCATTACCCAAAAAAAAACCCTTCTCTTTAGGAAGAAAATTAATTTGGAAATGTTTTCCAATCAGTGGTTATGAATAAAAGATTGCAACTGGCCATAAAATAATTTTTTTTAATTTATGTGTTTGACTATCATTCTATCATGTTGCCCCTTTAAGTATATAACCCGTTTATCAACACGGAAGACTATCTGGATAAGTAGTGGTTTTATAAAACTACATACAAATGTTACCTATATGAGAACCAGGTGTAATAAATATGTATAAGAAAGGAATTTTGGGAGGCAGTGCGATGTCGATTGCGTTTCTTTTTATACATTTTATATTGTTCTACAAGGTACAATCGTATCAGCAATTTGCATACAATTACTCGGGATTACACCATGAAAGTATTTTTTTTTAAATCACTTACTTGATCAAAATTTAACATTGAATCTACTGCATAATATGAACGGCTCGTAGATTTGCACTCAACATGAGCAGACAGAGGGGTTCACTTTGTTCAAGGAGACCAATGAATATTATCAATATTTAAATGTAACAAAATAAGGGCTGAAATGTTTTCTTTAAATATACATTATGCAAGAGCTACATCTGTCTATTGCAGGTCTTTCTTTAGGCCTGAAATGTTATCTAAATTATTAATGACATTAATTAACGTATCCAGACCATAATCAACTCTAAATGGCATCGCTAGCCTGCGATCTTAAGTGGATTGTGATCCGATTTACTGCATAACTTTCCTTCTCGATTAAACGATTAATTGGATAATCGAGACTATGCTGTTTAACGTACTGACTTTAGTAATGATGACCGAGGCTAGGCAGAAATTTTATTCGCTTAGTTCTCGGTTCATACTGAATCAATTTGAATGAAATTTTCAGCAAATTGCCTTTACGTTATCTACTTTTTAATTATTATAGTGAGAACTGCCAACTCGTTATCGAATCTCCCATAATGTATCTTTAAATAATTAGATAGTAATTTAACATATTGAAATTAGGTACCCGCTTTGCCGCGATGTTAGCGGGTAGAAATTAGTCATCTTTCACGCACCTGTATAGACAATTGCATGAAACTAGAGATGATGGCGTTTAATCAATAGATACCCATAGGAATGTGAGTATTGATCATTTTTTAGGGGCAACTGAGCTGCTTATTATTGTGTACGTTTCATTTAACGTTATGTTATTTTGCTACACAACGTTATGTTATTTTGGTTACATGATACATAATAATGTTGACTTTTATACAATTGAAACATATGACGTATTGTTGTCTTTGAAAAGAGTATGACCTGTAGCGTGTTACTGTTTTATTTGAAACAGATCTAAAGTATATCTGTAGAGGAAACCTGTATAGAAATGCCAACATGTAATGTATAAATGCCGTATTCGACCCAATAAATGTCAGTGCTCTAGAGTGCCCTTCTGATTCAACGAAAAACGTCATGCGAATAAGTGCACATGTTATTGGGACTACCCCAGTCGGTTTATTTATGCTATAATGTCTACAAGATGATGAAGTTATAGTTTTTCTTGCAGGGTGTAAATTTGTCCATGTAATAAATTAAAAGTTACAAAGTGAATATCTCAGTGATCGCAAAGCTGATCTGTTTCAAATTTTGAACACAATGGTCAGATATACCAAATGTCGAAGACCGCCAAATCTCTAACGCCTAATTAAATTGAAAGACACAACAGAATCGATGGAAGTTACGATAGGTAATTAACATGTAATAAATCGTAAATTAGTTTGTATCATGCGGACAGATGTATAAATTAAATTGTCACATTTGACGAGCATAAATACAATGAATACAAAACATGTAAATGTATAAAATCTTGTCTTGAGATCAACTTTAAACTGATTTAATTATTTCTTGGAATTATATTAAATTTGCATATAAAGACACGATATTCTAGGCTAATACAAATTTTATATCAACAAGAAGTCTTGCAAAAAAACCAACAACATTTCTCTAAAATGGTTGAAATCGGTTAATCCAGCGTAAGTTAATGTTTCCTGAAGCTCACAGTACTTTCTGTTGATGTCACACCACCATTTTTATTTTACAGTCATAGACATTATTAAAGGGTAATGCATTGGTTGTACACACAACTCACAATAGCATTTAACGTGGGGGTTTTGTTTTAATATGTTTGTGAAGTTTAAAATAAGGACAATGCTTATTTGTCTTCTGGTACAATAAGGTTTATTGTTACCTTGGCACTTCTTAATCACAGTGAGCCTAACGTAACTGCTGATAAGATTATCACGTCATCAGTTTTGGTTTGGTAGGTGTCTGCTTATTCTGTTGAGCACGGTATATTTATTAAAAACAGAACGAGAGATTCGAGTGAATTCTACTTTATATGCGGATGTGACATCTGTTTAATATTTACAAACTTTAGTTTATAACGAACGATATATTAACACATTTTGCTTTATTTATAAGATAAACAACATGGTCACCGCCATCAAAATATTATAGGAAATATTATAGGAAATATAAAGAATCTACAATGTCTGGCATTCCCCTTTAACTAAACAGGGAAGCCAGTTGACCAACTGACGGCTAGAACCCGCGAGCCTATACTAATTAAGTGATTAATTACGTGAAATGTTTCAATTAATATAAAACCTACCATAACCTGTCATGTGCAGTAGGTGATACATATACTGTCAGGCTATCTTATACCTCTCTTTTATAAGCTTGTCAACTTTTAGTTACACGGCGAGAACTTGTATTTCACATTTCAAAAATGAACTGAAATGTGGTTTAACCTATTTTCTATGGACACGCGCCATATAGTGTTCCATGAGGCGAAGTTTTACCCTGACAGCGGCACTGCTGGCTACTCTTACTTTGAGATCCAATTCTCAGTGAATCTTTAAAGTCCTGGGCGTCTTTCTGTGTCATGTCCCCCGCTCTACACCACTGACGAGGAGAAGGCAGATTGGAAAATCCCAAGGATATATTTCGGACAATACCGGGATCGAATCCAGAACCGCATGGTTAGTGAGTCTGACCATATTCTCCGAAACAAACCACAATTTAAATACGTTTCTTTCCTTTCCCTACAAATTGCGAGATACACCTCTTTTAATGCTTATATATTAAAATTATTCTTGAATTTGTTTGCTGAGGGGACTGGTGGCCTTAGTCCTTCACTCTCATTATACGCTTTTCATTTACCTAGCGAATGATGTAATGAATTCAGGAACAAAAGTTAAGCTGACCTTGTTTTGACAATATCAGACTATTTTCTTGACAGTTGTATGTGTGGAATTGGATTTTGTGATTGTTGATCGCATTAACCAGACAGTTTATAGATCATACAATATGATTATAGACAAATATACTTGGTAATCAGATCGTTTATCGCTTGTATGTCGTAAGTCATATATTTTCCAGATAGCATCATACAATCCTGCGCCAATAAATCATCCGACGATCAGATTATAAACAGATTTGAATCCCATCTGCGGTTCAACGGATAATGGATAATCCCGACTTTGTTTATTATCGTAACAACGGTAACAGTGACAGTCGAGGCTATATACAGTGTTATTGAAATGAACATTTTCCGGCCCAGAGTGAAGTAATTTGACTGAAGTTTTCAGCATATTATTTCCTTTACATTATCTATTTTAACTAATCTAGCGAAAACTACCTAATCTCCAATAATGACGCTTTAATTGATATATTCTGGTATCTTACGGCTAATTTTATTTTATCATTACAGATCAGTAATTAAAGCTGATTATCCTAAAGACACAGTTATAGTACATCAATTGGGATCTGGTCCCTACTGTCCTAGTATTTCACCATTTGTTATTAAACTTGAAACTTATCTCAGAATGAACAAAATACCTTATAAGGTAAGTTTAATAATATATACCCTTTATAAAACAAATCACCTTATACAACAAGTTTAATACACCATACCCGAAAGTCACGATTCTGTATTTGAGCGCCAGAATAGTAATGTCTGTACGTATCCCTGTCAGGGACGTAACTAGCTCAGAGCAACGAGGGGGCAGGAAGTGTTCTCAGGGGGTGCTGTAATATTGACGGACAATGTATATCTATTGATTTATGGTCGATAATTTTTTCACAAGGGGGGCGAAAACTGCCCCCCCCCCTCTAGTTATGGGCCTGACTCCTGTAGCAGTTTTAACTGGTTCTAAGCGAGTGTCTTTGTTTTGTTGTTTGGTGATAAACGAGTGGTTTTTGAATCAATAAATATCCAAAAAACAAATCTCCAATAACAATGTATAATTGCTGAAACGTGACCGACCAAGTACGTAAGATGGGTAAACACATTCATTAGCGGTTGGGTTGGTTTCATAAACTGGATTGTGAATTAAAAAAAAACACATTTAAGTTGGATCATTACGATGAATAGAAAGATTACAATATACTAATAAACCAATGGAAATTCCTTTAAGCGAGATTATTACCGGTCTAAAACTCAACCTTAAAGGGGATGGTCCATCTATTAATATATTCTAACAATAGTTAGATAACAAGGATATTGTGTTTTTGAAATTGTATAATGTTTTATGTCTCAAACCTGCGTTAAGAATTTGCTGACGTTAGGCGCGCTTCAACTTTAATAGATAAAACTGGTGTTCGTTTTTATAATAATTTATTGTTAATGATTTTAATATCAGCTTTTTGTATAGCAGTAACTGATTTTGTTATGTGTTGTGTTTTTAGAATATAAACTGTTACGAATTCTGCTACTCTATGTTTTTTTTAGACTATAGATTGTTACTGATTTGATAATTGATGTATATTTCAGAATGTATACGATAGAGTTATGAGTAGTAAAGGCAAGACACCCTGGATACAGTATAATGATGACGTCATACCTGATTCTCATTTTATCATAGGATATTTAAAAAATAAATTTAATATAAAAATTAACGATAAACTGACGCCAGAACAAAAGGCTGTTGGGGCTTCTTTTACACATCTTGTAGAAGATCATCTTTACTGGTAAGTAGAGACTATATGATGTCAATTTCCTTTGATCTTTGGAATATCGTCTGTATGGAGGAGAAATTGCGGTGTTGAGGTTCATTTTCTTAACACATGTATATGTTATAAACTTTAAAATGTATGGTCAGGAATGGGGGAGGCTGATCGTTTATGCCTTGATGCTTCAAAGGGGTGGTACATCTGTTCTCTCTTGTATTCTTTTTCCTGGTATTTCGAGTTTATCGTTCTCTGACATAATCCCGGACTACAGGTGTTGATGCTGCATACGTGACAGCAGTAAACAGAAACAACATCCGCTGTTTTCAGGGCAAGATCTAATGCCAAGTCTACAAGTAATTCAATTTGTCGAATTGCAGAGGACAGATAAATGTACGAACTATGGAAATTATAACTCTATTGGATCAATCTCGTCCTAGCATTTCAGAAAATTAATTATCCATCTCTAATTTACTTGGAGTGGCATTTATGAACATATTTCCTATTTTTTTCCCAGGGGTTTATTATTATGGAGAGCTGTTTATGACAAAAATAAAACTATTTTTCGTATGGTCGGGTTGAATTCTATCATACTGTGGATATTTGAGAGAAAGGCTCGATCTGTCTGTCACGCCCAGGGCCAGGGTCGTCACACACGAACGGAGACTATTCAACTAATAGAGGATGACCTTAGATTTATATCTGATTTTATAGGTAAATTTATAGATTCATTAATATGTTTCATTTCTACCCCATTTGCGCCAGCCAGTGTCAAGGTAACTGCCATGGTGTTATTTTTGCCTAGGTTTTGTTTGCGATGATTATATAATATTATATACTATTTGTCACTGGAGCCAAGATATGGGTCACTAATTAAGAGGTACTGAGATTTTCCAGTAAGACGTATGTGGGGGGGGGGGGGCAATGTACTCGTTAGTGTGCACTTAAAACAACCCTTATTAGCTGACATTCAATGAAAAGGGGGGTAAAACGCCGATATCCAGAAAAATTTCCCACATTGGTGATGGTGCAGTAGTGTGAGATAAGCCGTCACCAGACTAGAAAATGCCAATGATTTTCTGAGGCCGGGAGTGTAAGACCCCACTGTGTCACTGTGGATAACTTTCGGTAATGGTCGTATATTACATTATATTAATGGTCGTTATTGACAGGGAATAAGAAGTATTTTCTAGGAGATAATCCCACAGAAACAGATTGTGCTATATTTGGTCAGCTGTGTCAGTTTGTTTGGCAGACACCTGATTCACCAATGGAAACATCTATTAGAGGTAAGTTTAAAAATATTGTCATAATATACAGTGAAAGGGGGTTTAACGTTCGGTAGACAATTTATGAATATCATTGTCAGACTAACATACGATAATTTATAATTTCCTGGGGCCTCTTTCACGAAATTTTAACTAAGATAAAATCCAAATTTTAGTAATTTGATTGGATAATATTCGATTGATTTTAGTGATTAGCCAATCAAAATTGAAGTATCTACTAAAATTTGGATTTTATCTTTAATTAAAATTTCGTGAAACAGGGTTCTGGGATTATAATTTTATTTTATACTTCGAATTACACTCTCCAATATTATTCATTTACTTGCACCCCAATGTGTACACGGGTGGCCAAATTCTTTGCGATAATGAACAAGCATTCATCCAGGAATTTTTGCCGGAGGGGGTTTGCCCGGTACCTGAGGCATTGTATCTTTGGAAGGTGGGTGCCCCCCCCCCCCCCGCCCGGCCTTGAAAATGTTTGAGAAATACATGGTCTCTATCGTCATTTTGGCATATATAATACTACACACTGAGCTTTTAAAACAGACCGTGAGAATCTTCTCATGAAAAGTGTTGTTTTACAAATTTTTTTATGTAGGATAAAATTCCAACTCGACCCGTCACCACAGTGTTAATAAACCCTGGGAGATATCGCTGTTTATACCCATGTAGATGATTTGGGGTCAATTTTGACGATTTGGTCTAAATATTACCCCTTTATATTGATGTCCGATTCTTTTACAAATATGTTTTTTTTTTAAATTTCAGAGAAATACACAAATTTAATTGATTACTGTGAAAGAATAAAGAGTAGATATTGGCCAGATTGGGACGAACTCATCACTCGTGGCAACAATAACAATAAGAAGTGAAACAACATAAAAACTAAAAAGGGTGAATTTGAATATTGAATAAATCTGCAAAGGTTAAAACATTAATCAGTCAGTCCGACTGACAAAATATGAGAAAATTCAAGGTTGATAACCTTGGGATTAGCATGACATTAAATAAAAATAATTATATGTGTGATAAACGATAACAATTCACAGTGCAACCAGTCTGCGGAACCAAATGAGTTGAACCCCCGGAAGCCACGATTCATTGTGTAGATTTGATCGCATCTCCAATGAAAATAACAGACCAGATTAACCTAACCAGCTTTTTTACCTAAATCATAGAGGCTAAAACAAAGCGGTTTAGACCTAGATCAAAGGGGGTTTAGTCATAAATCAAAGCGGCTGAGTCCTAAATCAAAGGAGTTTTTACCTGCTTTAAAACTCGAAAGGAATTGTTATTGACGTAAAATAAAATCTAATTTTATTTAAATACTACAGTAGGAAAATAACAATTTACAAACAAAACGAGGTTACTGACAAACATAAAAAATAAACGCCAAAGATGTTAAGCGAATCAGTTGACAAAATCTATTTCAACTACTTAAATATATTTACATATTTACAAGACTGATCATCTTTCTCTGTTAAGCAAAGTTACATCTTAGACACCAAAGTTAGATGGAATAAATTATGAAATTATTTACAAATGAAACTGGAAATAGTTGCCAATATGTCCATATTACAATAAAAAGTGGTAATATTATTTTGTTAGTTCTACTAAATGGAGTTTACGAAAACTCAAATGTTAATCCTTTATGACGGTTTCCACTTAACAAACATTGGTTTGAACTGGACATTATTACAATCTGATTAAAACTCAGATCCTATTTAGTTTCATTTTTTATAGTTCAAAATTTCGTTTTACTTGTCCTTACTACACTAGGATCTGGAAGAGTTGGTATATTTCCGGTGTTCTGGTCGAAGTGACGAATTAGCCAATGAAACGGTCTGTTACGGCGAGTTCTTGACGTGCGATGCACGGAACTGTGGGTAAACCACTAGAAACGTCAACGTCAGACGTCATAGGGTCAAAAGTCGCTCGTACGACCCCTGATGCGACCTTCTAGTACAACTAGTGTAAGCCATCCAAAGTATAAAAAAAACGAAACGAAATATGAATCTGTATTGTAATCAGATTGAAATTATTAGAGGTAAAAGTCTATTATACTCTTTCTTGAAATGTTTTTCTAATTGTCTTAAAAATAAAAGACATTAGGAATTGTTCACGATGCCATAATCATATATATGAATATCCCGATAACCACACTGAATAAAGACGGCAGAGTATTTATGGAATCGGCTGTTGTACACGGCGAGGCGAAACCATCCACGTTCTTACAAACGTCACACCATGGCATTCCCAAACTTGTGTATACGTAACGCACATATTCGTCATTAGCAGTCACGTGCCAGGTGGCACCAATCAGCTGTAGGTTGTGATTCTGAATAACTGTTTTGGACTTGTATCGACACCTGAGGAAAAATATAGTTATATATTAAGAACTTTTTTTATATTCAGCCTTAATGTCGATCTGGACCTAATTCGTTGGCAATACAATTTGCGATTCAAATTCCCTATACTGATATTTTTTTGCACTCTGTCGGACTCTACACAGTACTGAGCACGGTTGCTTTGGCATATAAAAACCGATGCTATTGTTATTACATTCTAGTAACACATTCAAACTATATTAAACAGAATTCGTACAACAGGCATCTGAGACTTACCTCCCTTTAAACAAATAACTACAGTTTCTGTTGGCATAAGCGGCGATCTCAGACGGATGGAGGACATAGTCTTGTTCAAATAGAAGATAATGGTAGGTGTGTGGTTTAGAATCCGGCGGCGCGGGACCAACATAAGGGGCCACAGTCTGTCCCTTAGTGACATTTCCGTCATAGATATTAACTACAAGCCAATGTAGAAAGGGTTCTGTTTTATCCCCAAACTGTGGAAATGGTACGTCACCATCCAACACCATTAACGTTAATAATTTATCTGAAAAATAAAATCTTTCTTGTTGAGATCAATCCTTTGTCATAGTAATATTCCATTCATTACAATAATATCTATTTTTCATATTGTAAGAATAGCTAAACACGAACCAATTTAATAATTTTATTAGGGTGTTGAACGTTGTTAAGATTGGCAGTATCATCCACAGTCTTTGTTATTGCAAACACGACTTATTGGTCAATTTAAATCGACATTGATGTTGTTATCTTAAGGCGAAAATATGGGCTTCTGATATCCCTTATTTAATACAAAATGAAAATTGTAAAATTGCCACGCGAATCGCGTGCCAAAATGCTTTAGAGTGCCATTTCTAATGAAACGAGTCGGTGAACGAGTCTCAACACACCCCACATTACTGCCGGTGTACGCTAGAATAACCAGACGCCAAAAACTGTCATTCATCGCATATTTAGCCGAACAGATTAGAAATTACAGTAAAACAGAAACGATTGAATGGAAATCAGTTTAAATACATTCCTTTATGCGTTGCGACCCATTTATGTGCATTTCTAGGTATCAAAGAATACAGATTTAGCTCCTTATATTGCCTTATTTGACAGAACAGAAATAGATATTGAAATTGATTACTCGTGATGGGTATCATTAAACGCATCATTTACTTGCTAACATATAATTTTTGTCAGTTGCACTTAGATTTACAGTGACCAACCTTTAAAATCCCTGTTTATATTTGGAAATGCTGTTGCCATAGAAAGGGTTACCATGGGGGAAACATCACTACGCATATACGCTGCTTGTATATGCCCGTTACCAAGTGGATTGAGGGAAAACGTGGCTGCCCTGAAATAAAAAAAACAAAACATGTTATCAAATTGAAAGGACATATCTATCACCATGACGATTATCAAACTCCATTACCAGAAGTATGTACTAAAGATATATTTTTTGTTGAAAGCGGTGTTAAATACAATTTTTTATGCAAGAGTTTAGACATGTTTGATGATTTTATTTGAAAGACTTTGTAATTTCACGCGCACGCGTTAAACCACTAGACCACCCAATCCCGCTTATTTGAAAAAAAAAACCCTTAATCGTTTGAAATGTATTTTCCAACCTAACATTCTTGTAGGTTGTGACCAGATACCGACGACACCAGTGACAATATATGACAATCAAGTTAGGCGGACTATGACGTTTATTTCCGGGTCAAAATGAATATAGTTCAAATCTTTTTAAGAACAGAACAACGATGATTCAAACAATTTGTTGTAATTTTATTTTTTCCTTTTATTTTATCAATAAAAAATAATAATAATAGAAACTTACGGATACTCATAGACTGAACAACAAGAGTTGAAGGTCACAGCAGGAGAGGTAAAGGTCACGTTAATATAAACACTTAAATCATGATGTGCACTTTCTTGTGCTTCTGGTAAGAACTCTAACTGATGGCTTTTGAAAGCTGAAAAAATATGGTTTAGTATTTAAGAAGTCTTAGTATAATTTTAAAATGTTGAAGAATTGTTTTCCAGACAATTTATTATTATTATGTGGCCCCATATCTCGACTTAAAAGGGTTTTAGTCGGAATTGAATTGAAATTGAAATGTTGTTTAACATTTCTACACCGATTGTGCTAAAGAAGATGGGGATACGCCATACAGTGTGTTATGAAGGAAATTTAGCCCGGACGGCGGCACTATGACATACCCTTGGCGGTTGGAATTCGATATAAGAGTAGGCCATAGTGCCGATGCCCGGGCAAATTTCCCTCATAGCACACTGTATGACGCATGCCTGTCTTCATTATCCCGGTCGGAGCAGAACAGTAGGATGTTAAACCCTACAAACAGACACAAACCTTCACTGACGAAATATGGACACGTGTTCATATAACCTGTTGTCTTTTTACGTTCAGCAGCATACGGATCACCAGTTACTTGTATCCAGTTTAAAGCTAAAGGTCCTGAAGTAACAAAACAGATCTGTAAACATGGTTACTACCAGTGGAATAACCATTCTGCGAGTGGGGCATTGGGTTATCCCCTGACTCACCTACGCTATGAGTTAACGCTCTGTGAGTTTACAAGATAAAGATCGTCAGACCGCCCAACCCCACCACCTCCACATAAAAAATGTTATAGGCCAAGGAATGGCATAATTTAACATTGAAATCAATGGGCAAGATGATTACTAGTCTGATCCCTGGTTTATTTAGAGTTACTTCCCTTACTCCGATCCGTCAAAGAATTTCAATTATTCGTTTATTCATAGCCTGTATTGTGTGACTCTGATAAAGAATGTAACCAACCATCTAGTGCAGTGATTCCCGACTGGGATCCAAGTGGAACCCCGGGTTAATTTAGGGGGGGGGGGGCGTTCCAAGACGAGCTGACCCGTGTGATTTGTATTTTTGATGGCTTAATGGCTTTTCCTCGGGTTGATTGTTTTTGCGATGGTGTAACGTGTAGAGGGGTCTACAGCGACCCTGGCGTGATTTGTGAGTTTAGTCGGTTGCTGCAAGTGACGTCAGTCAGATCAGAGAGACTTACCATGGAAACCTCAGCTCATCCATGGGTCTCCCTCAAGACGATAGGTCATCCCCCAGTCACGCTCATTGTCCCATTGACTGTTTTTGGCTGAATGCATCAACAATAGTATGTAATAGTCAAAATTTCTTGGTTACAGAACATGAATATGGCTATGTGACGTATTGAACGTCAATACATAACTGACGTGAATGAGAAGTATGGGTCTCGCTCGAAAGGAGGTGAACGAAGGTAAAAAAAAAAAGATTGGGAAACAATGAGTAAGGAAAATAGATTTAACCCCAAAGGTGTAGCCTATTGTCTGTTCCAGTAGGTTGAAAATCGGGAAAGAAGTAAATATATTTTTCTCATTTTGTCCTACTCTGTCGCCCTGTGACTTGTACAATTCATTATTCTGGTCTCGGTCATCTTAACTTCTTACCTCCCCTGGGAGTCCATTTCTCAGCAGCATGTATATTATCCTGTAAGATTTAACTCTCTATACAATACCAGTACCTAATTATAAATTGTTATAAATCGATATAAGATTGATCTACAGTACTTGATAGTGTTACCTGTTAAATTAAACTGTCTGTCAAATTCGGCAAGATCAAAAGCTGACGACCTCTGATATAGAATGTTTCTCCAGTCCGGGGTTATTCTTAAATATCCAGACTGTTTGAATAACATGAATAGATAGGGATTGCGATTTCTTGTCGGGTTCATTGGACCTTCATAAGACAGAATAACCTGGAATTACAAAATAATAATGCACCAAACTACAAGCAATATATTCTGAACTGAAGGATAATATTGCGTCTTGACATTATTGTGAATAGGATAGTGACAATAAATTATTGCGACTAGAATAATTCAAATACCAAGCCCTATGTAAGATCATATTATTATTTGAAGTGCATTAACACATATGAGAGCCTGCGGGTTCTCTAAGACCTATGGCTATGAGATCAGATCTTGACTTACTTCCCCATTTGAAACATCTGATCCAGGAATATTGATGATGAAAGATTTAATAAACATATAGCCCACATCGTAGAATATCAAAGTATATAGATCGCCTTCATCATAATCCCACCGATACATAGGGGCAGTACGCAACTGCCATGGTGTGTAAGCATTACTAGATAGCGGGTCCAGAGTTATTGCCCTGTCTTCTGTTGTTTCAAAATCATTTTCACAAGCGAAATAGGAACCTGAAAATAAATATTAATCCAGTTTCAGTGATAGGAATTGAACCCATACATATGAATTTTGTATTTATTTAAATGGTATCCGTGGAAACATTTTGGTTAGAGATGTAAATCAAACAACACAAATAAATAGCCTAATTATTAGTACTTTGATCATTTCAGTTTAAAATACGGAGCGGTTCAGAATTTTGGTCTAATGTTCTAGTGTAATGAGTGATAATCACACGCCACCAGCACGCGACTATGATAAATAGCTTTTTTTTCTCACAGATTTCTCCAGATTCATTGAATAAAAATAGAAAATGAAATGAACAAGATCTTTTTGAATTGTTTCAAAATTGGTCTGTCAATTTAACGTTGCTCCTTTGTCTCTCTTTTGGGTTACATTACAAAGAAACCGTTACCAGTTATTATCTCCCTATTGACTTCAATATTAAATCCATAACTTTTCTTGTCTACGAGGGGGGTTGGATGGTTGAATGGTTAGCGTGCGCGCGCTGTATCATAAAGTCTGTCATTGAGTCGACTGGCGTGGTTTCGAATCCCCGGTTGTACGTGACAAGGAGTAGGGTCGCCTGTCCAACCTCGTGGGTTTTCTCCGGGTCCTCCGGTTTCCTCCCACTGCTAAAGACCCCTATGCAAGCGAATTATTGAAATAAATTTAACCATATGTTAGTCCCGAAATGACCTAGTTTGTGTCGAGTGGACGTTAAACCCCATCTCTCTCTCTCTCTCTCTCTCTCTTGTCTACGATACTGTATAGAACATGACATTAATCGTTATAAACACACCGCTTCGATTATTTGGTAGGCCTCGTCAAATGAATCTAAGGACAGTGATGTCATTTTAGTATGCGATTTCCATGATTCATGAATGTTTACTTCTTGATTCGTCGGCCTCAAAATTATGAATATTCCAACACTCTTATGTCATTCTAGACCAAAAAGTCAATGGAAAATGCAATGCGAAAGGGGTGGGGAGATTGCTACATACCATGAAATTAGGGAGGTAATTGTTATTCGGAGTCCATTGGTGTCACGCAATAAAATGTTATATATTTCCTATTATTACTGGCACTTTTAAGGCATTGTTAAACATATCATTTCTTACCCGATTCCTGTGAATATGTAACTTCTATGAATCTATCCAAGGCAGCGTCATCAAACACACCATTACTGTAAACCCTTGATATTAGGCTATCTGTAACACGTGGTCGGGGATTAAAGCAATCAGCTATGTATAACGAGTCATCATCACATCGTGAAGGGTATTCTTCACCAAACCAGAAGAGTGACCTATCTTTAGCTTGCTGTCCAATAGACTCCAGGCATTTCTCTATGTTAGATTTTCGTTTTAACTCCGCACATGGAGAATCCTCGAATCCTATTAAAAATAAGGTAATGATAAGGTATAAATATTAGTAGTGTTCAATTTTAGGATCACAAAATTTGAACTTCAAAAGCGAGATTGAAAAATGCAGAAGTTCGTTTTGACACTAAAAAGCCTTTTCTTTACAGTCCAAACCATTGGACCTACATAGGAACTTAATCAACTGTTTTCGAGCGCATCCATCTTAAACATCACAAATCTAATGTTGGGCAGGGGCGGATTGGGGCCGGAAAGCGGCCCGGGCTCCCGTGTCGGAGCGGCCCCTTTTACTGACCGCGGCTCTCCCCCAGGAAAATTTTGAAAAATGAACCCCAAATATGCGATTTGGTGGCATATCTGATTATAATCTCTGTCAAATAATATATCTCATAAATCGATTAATTTAGGTCAAAACCCCGACCTGGGCCCTTATTCACGAAAACTTAAACTAAGATAAAATCGAAATTTTAAGAAATACTGCAATTCGATTGGCTGACCAGTAAAATCAATTTGCATATATCCAATGAAGTTGCAGTAGTTCTTAAAATTTCGGTTGTAACATAGTTTTCGTGAATAAGGGCCCAGCAGCAAGTAATTTACAACCATCAACCTGTAAAATTATCATATCGTCATATTATTAATGGGGCGACAGTGTCGGGTGAATCCGATGAAATTTTCGGATGAAATTCGGAATCCCCATTGTAGGATTCCGAATTCCGGCCCACTTCCAGCACACCCGGCCTAGAAAGTCTATTATACTAGCCCATTCCAGACTCCAGTGATGGCGTGGCGGCCCGTTAAAGCCACCGGCTAGATACAACATGATCAGCATCGCTCCATGGCCGGGACAATACCCCCCCCCCCCCATATAATGTTCAACAGAAAAAGTTTTTTTAGAGAAATTGGACAAAAAAATGACACGAAAAATGAAATGAAATGAAATGGGGTTTAATGTTCTACAGTTCTGCCCGACTGGGCTATAGGACGGGCATACACCATACAGTGAGCTATGAGTGAAATTGTCTAGGGCTATTTTACGTGCACGTCAATGTCTACACGGGACCTCGGTTTATCGTCCCATCGGAACGACTGGACAGCCGTCTGCACCACTGACAACGGAAAACCACGCTGGAAAATCCCGATTAACTGCCTCGGCCAACACCGGGAGCAAACCCGCGACCTCGAGACTAGGCAGCCAACGTCTCACCCACTTAGCCGCCATGGCTCCCTTCCGGGCACGAGAAATGTTTGATAATCGTGATGGGTATATCCTAATGTAACTAGCTTATGCACATGTTTAATATTTGTGTAATACTATGGTTCTTGCGACCATTGTATCTTTAACTAATTATTTGGTTCACACTTTCTATAGAGTCAAATTACACGTACTTAATGAATTGAGTGATATATTTATACATAAAAAACAGTGATATTTTGGTAAAATCCTTACCGTTACCAAAATATCCATCAAATGTTATCCCCCCCCCCCCCCGCCCCTCCCCAGCGCCCCGTTTTTTTGAGAATGGGGATATTTATTCCATTTTTGGGAAGGAGATTAACGCGAAGGCCAGTCTATGACGTACAGAAATTAGAGGGTTATAAAAGAGGGTGTTGAGCGAAATTCACCAGAGTTTACCCAAATGTTACGAGCAGCTATCACCTATGCTTTATTGAGAACGAGGACCATCGAAGCCAAACAGTTTAATAATAAAGTTTTAGAGACGAACTAACCTTTGGTTTTATGTACGATCACAAATGAAACACAACAAGGAAGTCCGATAATACTACATTTGGCGATGTTACCAATTCTTTGAACATGCCGTAAATACACGACTATAAACGGCACCGAAACTATGTGAGGAGAACATTGACTTTTTTATGGGCCTCCCAGCCTACCATACTCGTAGACTCTTTCTCAGTTCATCCCTGCTTAAAGTTGCAATTTCATATTTTTAAGTTATATTTTTAAAATTTATTAAAATAAAGCCTTAAAATAGATGGTATCTATAAACAGTCCCACCTTGTTAAAGAGTAATCCTATTAATCCTATAATTCACTATTGCCAGTTGAGAAATTGGCAAAAATATCATTTTCATCGACAAATTCAAACGTTTGAAGTTAGCTACTCCATGGTGGAGAATAGAAAACAAGAGAGGTAATTGGGAGGTAATTGTGTTATTATTTCCGGTGTAAATGAGTTTTATGTGTGAGAATGACACCTATGATCGTATAATAGTGAGTTGACAACCTATTAAGCAAAAGATATAGAAATAATTATGTTTTGACTTTCTTAGAAAATATGAAATTGTAACTTTAAAACATAAGATGCGATATCAACCGTGAAATTTATTACTGGGCGACAAGTCGAGTCGCATCCTAGATATAAACATAACTGGATTAATAATTTTTGCGACATTTTCATAATACTGTTTGTTATAATCGGTTCAATTCGGGACATGGTGTAGAGGTTATTTGACGATTTACACAAGTAAGTGTGTGTTTTCTTGAGTCTCTATTTAATAGTCGTGACAAAGTGAATAACACGACTGCCCATCAAATTTTTTAGGATGTGACCAACGTCAGAAAAAACATTCATCCACGTAGATTAGTTTGTAGTTAAGATTTTTTTTGTACATGTGAAAATAATACTGAAATAATTGTTTCGCGCATTACAAAACATTTACCATGACATAAAACGTGAAAGAACGATCTTTGGAATTAGCCAGGGGTCCGTTCTTAATCCTTAATTGTTTGTTTTTACTATGAATAACGATTGTCACCAACTGTCCGGTCAATATCTCAACGGTCCATCTGACATGGTTTATTCAGGTAATATCGAATATGTGTCACCCTAATTTCCGGGGTAAGATTTCCAAAATGATGTTAGGTAATAGAGAGTGCATCTTACGCTTATCTTTTTTGTATCAACTATCTCGCCATTTGTCTTTTTTGTATCAAATATCTCACCGCTTGTCTGTTTTGAAATCAGATATATCAGTACTTGTATCAAATATATCAATACGTCTTTTTTCATATCAAATATCTCAGCAGTTGTCCTTTTTGATATCAAAGGGTGCATCTTATTCTTGTTTTATATCAAAAATATCACCTCGTGTCTTTCTTACATCAAATATATCAATATTTGTTTTCGAATCAAATATACCAGTCATTTTTTTGTTATCAAATATATCAGCACATGACATGTCTTTTTTATATTATATCAACACTTGTCTGTTTTATATCAAATATATCAACACTTATCTGTTTTATATCAAACATATCAAACACTTGTCCTTTTTTGATATCAAATTATATCAACACTTGTCCGTTTTTGATATTAAATATTTAACAACACTAAGATTTGTCCATTGTTTCATCAAATATATCAACACACGATACATTAGAGACCTTGGTTTTATACTATATCAACCTATGATATGATGATATCAAAGAAGATATTAATTGGATTATATATTCGAGACACTAATGTGAAATACCCTTCACACAAAGTAATATAAACAGTAGCTAAAGCAAAGTTCAAGGTACTCGATTGTCTGTTCTTGTCATGCTCAAACACTTCAAAAGAATTGAAACATAATTGGAAAAATAGTTCATACCTAGGTCCAAAAAGAAGACTATTTCTTTTGCAAAAGAAAAGATAATAATGAATATTTCACACGTTTAGGGATGTGAATAAAGAAATTTCTATGGGTGGATATAAAACAAAACTGGTGTGGTTATTATAGTTTGAACTTAGACGTCATCGGGCTAACAATATCACCAAGTGTGAATTTTAATAAACTTTTGAGCTAAACCTATCCATTTTAGATAAATATGTTGTAACTCGAGAAAATGTGGAAATAGTATATGTTGTATAAAAACATCAAGCAAAATATAATAAACGAAGAATGGTATATGATATTTTTTGCAGATGGTTATGTGTGCCGGGCTATACGAGGTTCTGTTATTCTGTTCACACAAGGGACTTTTCGTATTACCGTTCTAAATACACGTGCCTCTATTACCGATTTACATTAAGTTTAAAAACCTTAATTGTAATTTCTAATCAGTTTTATTCGTCGAATTAAGTAGGATTTCCAAATTGAATGACAGTCGCTCGCGCCTGGTTAGTCCAGTCTACATCAGAAGTACGGTTTGACATTTCACTTACGCACTGACGTTTAGTCTCGTTCATTAAGGCTCCTCATTTCAAATCGCGATTGCGGGCATAGGGTATACGTCGACGTGTACGGGTTTTAAAGAGAGAGAGGAAGACAGAGAGAGAGAGAGAGAGAGAGAGAGGGGGGGGTGAGGTTTAACGTCCACTCGACACAAACTAGGTCACTTCGGGACTAACACATGGTTCAATTTTATTTCAATAATTCGCTTGCGCGTAGAGGTCTTTAGCTATGGGAGGAAACCGGGGGACCTGGAGAAAACCCACGAAGTTGGACAGGCGACCCTACTCCTTGTCACGTATAAACGGGGAATCGAAACCCGGCCAGTTGACTCAATGACAGACCGTATGATACAGCGCGCTAACCACTCGGCCATCCAAACCTCCATACGGGTTTTAAAATTGTTCATTGTGTCTTAAATATTTGATATCAGGGGCCCACTCATGGTAAAATATGAGTTTGAGATTTAAGCCCTTTAATCCCCCATCACTCCCACCATTTCATTCCATTCCGTTTCGTTCTGTACTGTTCTGTAACTTTTTGTCTATATTAATAACCAGGCATGGTCTAGAATTTGGATAATCGTATTGTGACGCAGACGACAGCCTAATGTTTGTGGAATACCCAAATGTAACAAAGGTACATTGATCCAGTCATTGCCAGGGATTATATAACTAACAGGAAGGGGTCAGTAGGTCACGTAAGACACCGGAAGTAAGTGTCACGTCATGCTGTTTATGGGACTGCTGAATAAAGTCTAAGCATGGATTTCGAGTGGATTTATACTAATCTTAGTATGACAACTTGGACTATTTTTTTTTTTTTTTTACTTTTCAA